CACATAGAAGATCAGCCAGCCCCAGAACCAAGGCATCGTTGATGTAGTTCAGCTGGATCGACATGTCTTTGTCTGAACGATACCCTCGAAGTTCAAGGTGGAGCAGAAGCGACCCTTCGACCTTGATTTTCAGATCCATCCACGTAGCCGAATCATCCCTCATGACCGGCCACCTAAACGGCTGAAAAGCCTGGTGAGCGAGGACGCGGCCAGTCTCCTGATCCCATCGGCCAGAGGGCACCGAGCTATAGGATGACATGGAACCACAAATGATCAACTTCTGACCATCCAACGTGCGGACGTAGAAGATGTTGAAGTGGTATCCAGTGTTCGGTGATCTGACCTGGGCCTTGTCCACATGGATATTGATCCCAGCTTGCGCATTCACGAGGATCTCATCGAGGAGCCAGCCTTGATACGGGCTCTGAAGCCTCTGATCACGGCTGTCGATCACAAGCACTGATTTCTCCCCTTCTCCGGATCCGATCTGGCGCAGGTAACCTGGGAGCTGAAAATTGAGAGGGCTCCTCAAGGGAGGTGCTTGACCCCACCTCACTGTCGACGGAGCCGTCTTCCAGCTGATGTCTCATTGACCCCTTCCAGTAAATTGCGAGCTGCCTGAGTAGCCGGAGCCGCTGCCCTAGAGGCTGGAGGAAATGGGTTAACCGACGGGTTGGCCACAGGTGGTGGCGCTGGAACATCATCAACTGGAGCTGCCCAAGGATCATCTCCCTCCTGTTCATTCGTGCTGGATCCAGCTGCTGCTGGGTGATGCTCATCAATTCCAGGCAGGCTCTCCTCATTCACCTCAGTGATCACTGGTCCTGAAGGCATGTTCACCTTAGTCCATGATGCTGCTGAACCAGTGCAGGATCCTACCATACTGGCGCTGTCATCGGGTGTGACCACTTCAGCTGCCCGGCGAGCCGCCAGAGCGATTTGTCGCTGGAGCGCTAGAGGTGTGGGAGGAGGAGCCTTCTTTGGAACGGCGGGAGGAGCCTTCTTTGGAACAGCATCGCCCTGTTGCGACATGGCACTAGTGATCCCCAGGCCCTAGGAACAACCTCAGGACACCAAAAAGTCCAAATTTCTGGATCACAGGTGCCTGTCCTCTTGAGTCCAAAATGGCACCATCAAAAACAGTTGAACAACCAAGTGGATCAAATGTAGGTAAGTTACACAACTGCCCCAAACCTACCTAACCGTTAGCAGCTGCACAACAGTCAGTTGGGTGACAGGTTGAATCTCAAATGGTCTTCAGGAACGATCAAAATCCGCCAGCACCGAAGGTGCTGAGGGGCGTTACACGGTTAAAGCGCAAAAGGATAGGGCTGCGGTATTTACCCCATTCGCGAGGGCATAGTGGTCCAAATGCTCGGAGGCGAGGATTTGTCGAAGATGGTCGACCCCAGGAGGTGGGCCCTCCTGCAAAGACAGGACCCACCCCACTTCGCAACCGGCAACAAAGATTGCAAAACACCCTTTCAGTCCCATCCAGCCCTGCGTGCCAAGATCCAATCCCAGCACGTGGACAAGGCTTCCCGGCACTTGGATCTTCCATCTCAAGATGGAAGAGACTGAATACAAGAGTTGAATAAGATTAACTCGAAAGTTAATTCTTCAGCAACAGCCCCCATTCAATGCGCCAGCCTCAAAGGATCAACTTGGGAGTTGATTCTGCCAGCTGCGCCAGCAGCCCAAACCAAGAATTAACTTCTGATTTAATTCTTTTTAAAGAGTGTCTGGCCCTTTCCCTCTCTCCCTCTCTCTCTCTCTGCCGGTCTGTCTTTCTATCCTTGTCTATCTTCCTACTAACTTGGAAGAAACTCTAGCTCTAGATGATTTGTATGAGAAAGCGAGAAAGTAGAAGACATGGCAGCCCTGGAAAAGAATTAACTCTTGATGTAATTCTTGTTAAAGGGTGTCTGGCCCTTTCCCTCTCTCCCTCTCTCTCTCTGCCTGTCTCTCTTCCTATCCTTGTCTATCTTTCTACTACCTTGCAAAGAAACTCTAGATGGTTTGTATGAGAAAGAGAGAAAGTCGAAGATTGTTGGAGGATTGCTGGGACATGGCAGCCCTGGAAAAGAATTAACTCTTGATTTAATTGTTCTTAAAGGGTGTCTGGCCTCTGCCTGTCTGTCTTTCTATCCTTGTCTATCTTTCTACTAACTTGGAAGAAACTCTGGCTCTAGATGGTTTGTATGAGAAAGCGAGAAAGTAGAAGATTGTTGGAGGATTGGTGGGACATGGCAGCCCTG